GTTTTCATATGTTTCTTTATGAAACTAATCAGATAGCCCATCTCCATCAAGGAATCGAGAATATATTCAAATTCGTTTTGTAAGAGGTCATCCGTACATATCCTTCTTGTTCTGCTCGCAAGACATTTTACAACATTCCCTTTATATTTAATGGGCACGTAACTAAGGAAGTGTGTGTATTGCCCTGTGAATGTGCTTTTTCTATAAACGCTTCTCCTGCGCAACCTGGAGGACTGCTGTTTAATTCAATAATGATACGACATGGGTCAGACAAAGAGTGTATTTATACATATATCAAATATTTAACTGTTCAAACATTACTAACTTGTAGACAATCTACTATTTGACATTATATAATACTTGATCGTGTCTGTAAAAATGGCATGCATTTTCATGTAAATTTATGTTTATATGAAAATATAAAATTATTATTATAAGTGACCCATCTCCTCTCCTACTTAGCAAGGTTGAATAATCGATAGAGGACGCCTCACTGAAAGACAGATCAGTCATGCCAGTAGTGCTAATTACCCAGTAATTTTATAAATTTGGATCGCCAGATCACTAGGGAAATCGCTAGAGCGAATAAGAGAATCATTTATTAAAATAGCATGCAAGCAGCTTAAGTGGAGATGTAATATAATTTGAGATCTAGCTAGGAGAAATTATGAACCGCCTAAAGGTTCTGATGAGAGTACTGATACAAATGTGCAGTTCAAGACGAAGTAGATAGCTAGTACCTTCTTTCCAGCGTTTTTGCAAGCGCCATTCTTGGTAAATTCTATCAAGGGATTGAATATACAGCAGAGAAAACCCCGCTGATGACAGGTAAAAGAAATATATCAAGATAACGAATAAATTATATGGAGTTATAGGGATTCTAACATGGACCAGCCATACAATACTACACACTCATCAGTCCATTTTACCTGTCCCACAGATATGGAAAGTCCACAGTATTCATTGCTAGCACATTACGACTAACGTATGTTATCCTACGGACGGAAAAGTGATCTCTCCTGCCTTATTCCTAACTAAATTATGTACTCATATGGCTTCTATTCATCATCTGATCACCTTAAAAACTGGAGTTACAGTGTTTCTTCAAGCGGCTTGTCTTCTTTTTGACAGAAAGCTAAACCCATCACTCCACTAACTGTACATTCGGTAATTACTATAATAAATTTAGGATCGTGGTATTTTTGAACCACTATTTTCGAAGCAAAGCGGATTGCTAGTGAAGTGGAGACAACCTCGTCAAACACGCGGAAGGGTATTCATCGCTCAATAGGCAAAAAACCCTACAAATCATAAGGAAAGTGTTGTTCCTACTTGTTTACTCTCTCCATCCCCATGAATTCCTCAATAACGGGCCACATCCGACTGGCCACAGCATACTATGTCAAAGAGGCCCTACACCAGCCTCATCCGAGAAATGACTTCCCTAAGGACGTTGGTTCGGTTGGCTTGTTTCTCGGGGCTACATCTGGGGTTTTCCATCGGGTGCCTGTGGGGGTTGTGATGTCAGCCGACGAATTGTCACTTTGAATCTCCCCAACGTGAAGTTGTATCTACGTAGTACATTCACCTGGAACAGTTTATTAAGAAATGTAACAATGTCATTCATCATTTTAGTTCACTACTAACCATTCCTACTGAAGTAGCAATACTAGACTACTGTCTGTCGCTTTCGAGTTTCTTCATCCTCTACTTCTACCCAGCAGTCAGTATCTAAACACTAATTTTCCGCCAGGAGTCCGTTCATCTAAAGCCAGTCGGCAGAAGTTTCTCGATCCTGTCTCGTCAACAAAAGCCTACAACTTTCGGAAACTCTCTTACATGCACTTGCTCTAAAGTCGATCCAGATTATAGTTCATACGCGCAGTGAAAAGACATGTCCGAGCAAACAGTATGAGTAATGAGTTAGGTAATACTTGATTCTAGCCATTGAGACTGTCGCTTTACACCATGAACACCTTGGTGTTGTGACGATGTTTCATAGACCTCTCGTTCGCTATACTGGTGCCATGATAATGTTTAAATCTAAGATTGATCCCTTGATATATTCTGTTGAAGTGTCTGTAGTTTCCATCTAGAATAATGACTGATGCACTCATCTGGCTTAGAAGTTTAACTTGCCACACCAAGATGAGAACTAATTTGGAACCGCTGATGAAACTTGGTCAGGCTGAAGAAGAAACTATTCGAAGAACTGCTGAGAGCGGGCCACCATACACAGCAATGGTGAGGTAGGACTTAATCTGGCTCTAATCGACGACTATGTGTTTACTCACTTTCCCCTGCAATAATAAAAAAGACTCTAGTTAGCAAAGCAGACGATTTCACCACATCATGAAGAGTGTTTCACTGACCACACAAAAATAAGGGAATAAACAACTGGCGCATGTTATATTAAAATGACAAGGCATGTCCGCAGGTAATTTCCTCACAAGTTTGGACATGCAAGAATATTCTGTCTTCTGAAAAATGAGTGAAACTAAGTGTAGCGGCTTTGTGTGCAAGATAAGTTAAGCAAACAGAGACCTAATTACTCCTCCAGGTTTCGTAAACGAGGACGTGTGTCCAAGTCCTGGATAATGGACGTGGGTGACTAGGTGGCATATACCCTTTTCGAAGTTGTGCCGCCTTTATCTGGTGTTTCAGTAAATAGGCCAAAAACACCAGCATGATTTCGTGAAAATTCAAGAATATAGGTTCAACTTTTGGAATTGCTACCTTTTTTAATCTATTGTGTTGCATGGATATTGGTATCAAGCAGCATTTTCCGAT